AGTCTTTCCATCTTTAAACTCAATTGTTTATGTATTCAAATGTTTGTTACCTAACTATGAATATTGTAGATATGTATATTTACAGCATCAATCTATTGACACGACTTTCACGCATTCTTCATCTTCTCGGTTAATCTGTTATCCCTATTCCATAAGCACGGAGGAAAGATTTGCAATCCTTTCGCCGCATTCACATCTTTAGTAGTGTGATTATCGTTCTCTTGCATAAACTTCCGATTAAAGCCAAAGTTAAAGCTGTTTCCAGAAGTACCAAGCGGACACGGAAATGTGTAAATAGACGAGGAAGTAAATATTCCTCTTCTTTTTTTTGTATATCTTAAGTCGATTTTGTATTATGGTAATACTCATATTGTTATGTACCAGTCAAACTTGCAGACTCGGAGGTTGAGCAGGTCTACAAAATCGGACTTTGCTGAAGATCGCTTTTCCATCCTACCAACGGCAAGACACGGAGGCGACTGGCCACGATCTGTAGCTTATATGCAGTCACTTCTCCTTCCTCCCAAAGTTACTTTAAGAGACATCGTGCAGAATCCTCGGAGATAACTGAGCGAGTCTCTCTCAGAGTGACTTTGGAACACGAATGTGTAGAACCAGGCACGCTACTTGATCATCTCTCCATACTGAGATGTGGTGAGCAAACTGCTGTCCGATGCTATTCGATAATACGTAGACTATTTCGAATCCGGAGGAGTTTGATCGGTGCATAACAAGTGCATCTACGCCCGTTAACTTTGGCTTCACCGGGAGACCTCGGCGCATGATCGTCGACAGGAACTTATACAAGATGTCTCAGAACCACTAAACATCCAATAAAGTTTAGTCGAAAAGTCCAGTCTACTTTCAAAAGCTTCAGAAAATTAATGTGTCTTTGGCTCGAGACATTAATTTCATCGACATATAATACTGGAGCATGTGATGAGATCTCTTTAATTTTTCATTTTGACGGACCTAAGAGAAAAAGGTAAATATATGAACATGGAACTCTTTTTCTAATATTGTCTTACTGATCAAGTTTTGTTTCAGGAAAGAAAGAACAGTAGTGTATTCTACCCATACATTGTTCCATCTTTTTCTAGGTCTATCAAGATGGTTTGTACTCCGTCCAGTACTATATGTCGATGGTTTTTAAGTTATTTAAAAGAGACGGAGAGATTATTGAAGATATTTAAGTTTAGTAGTCAAACATTACAAATAATGCTCTCTCATAACTGGTTTTGAGACAGTCTTATTATAAATTACAGCCTATTCCTTCCTTTTTTTTTTTTTGTATTGGCGCATATATTTATCCTTTCGCAACTAGCTACCCACTTAGGTGTGGATCCCCGACCCGCGATACGTATGCTTGACGTACTTGACGAGGCTCGAGGTACGCGAGGAAAAAGAAAATCTGCGATACCGAGTCGCGCGCGTATAGCACACGCGTGCGGGAAAAAAGACTCGGGGGAACATGGAGTCGTCACACCGGGGAGCTTCGTCGGATATATTCGATACGCGATGTATCGCTGTATTGCAAGTACATACTCCCTCTCGAGGATTACGGTAATGTCGGTGCCGCCGGACTAGTCGTCGGATAGCGAAGGTCTGCCCGATGGGTCGGCAGCCTCGCTCTCGTAGCCCATACGTGGACGTGCGACATTCCGGCTCGTCGTCGTCTTCTTCGTCGTCACATCGCCGTCGTCGTCAGCTTCGTCGCCGCCCTCGCCGCTGCCGTCGTCGTCGTCGCCGTCGCCGCCGCCGCCGTCAACGTCGTCTAATAAAGTCACGCAGCTCGAGTTGCAAAACGGTTCGGGACACACGCTGGCCGCCGAGAAGCTCAACGAGATGACAAGTTCCGAGCCCAGTCTGTAGCTAGATCGCTGAGCTACATTTCCGGACACGCGCCGGCACAGACCCTCGCAGGCGCTTAGAAAGATTAAAAAAAAAATGTACCCAGTCCCTCTCGGCAGAGTTCTCACTAGAGGCACGTGGAGATCGTGAATCGCCGATCGGATCCGTGCATCGGATTTTTGAGAGACACGGTCGGCACAAGAACCCGGAGAAAAATATGTACATGTATAACGGAAAAAAAACCGGACGCACGTCATCGGGACACGGGTTACCCCTTGATCTCGCGTGATAGAAAACGAACACACACGTGTCGGTCATCGTCGGTTGCCGCATTAACGGAAAAAAGCGCAAAACCGATAGAAACGCGGCAGCAGGGATTGTAACACGCTGTATTGTAATATGATATGTGATATAGGACGTGATAGCCCTCTACGCCGGCATCGTCTACGAAGGATGTACCCTTGAAGGAGCGAGCGTGCCAGGCTCGAGAGACGAGAGGGTTTCAAGTAGAAGCGACGCGAGAGGTCTGGTGGAGGAGCGACATGGTGTAGCGAGAGGTAATTGTTCATCACAGCACTCTATAACTACATCGAAAGAGAGCGGGGGAGAGTGCGAATGAGAGATGTATACTGTAATAGAGACGCGGTATTGCGCTACCGCATCCAACATGCGGGTCCAGCCTCTCGATATTGTTCTGATAAAGAAAGCGTAAGAAAAATGAATAAATGTAATATAAAGAAAAAAACGACACGTTAATTCATCCCGCGTGTTCCACCCGAACGCCTTTGAGAGACCTGTTTTCTTTCTTAGGAAAAGCGGCGCTTCTTAAGGGAGAGCCCATCTCTACGAGAGGAATCTTCTTCTGTAGGGTGCGCCGGACAAAACTGAGATCGACATGTGCTTACACACGCCGAATCTCGCCCTAGAGCGGATTCTCGAGAGTCTCCGCTCGACGGGACCATGAAGGTATCGTAAGCACGAATACTTTCCCCGCGCTGCGATCCCTCCCAGTCAACACCAACTAAGAGACCTATTCTGTAACTTTTAATAATTGTAACGTTACTATGTCGTTGCAACAGCTTTTTTACCATGTACAAAATCTGCGACATTGTAACGCTACAGTTATAGTTGTTAAGAGTTATAGAATAGACCCCTCCAAGTAAGAAGAACATCTACAAGGTGTTCCCTGTCCCAAGCAAGGTGTTGAAACCTGTTTTCCTATGGGACACTCTGTATATTGTAATTTCACACTCAACAATATAAATATAACACATGATGTTACGTAACAGTTAGATTGTTGAATGCGACATTATAACATAGATGTTACTTTTAATTGGTGTCAACTGGGTAAAATCTCGAGAGAAATATTGGACACTTTCGACCTCGGATAGTCCTAACGATAGCATAACATTCGCGATAATATTAACCATATTTGCTTCAACTCTTATTCATGCGAGAGTGATTTTATATCTTTCTTATAGTTCATTTTTCATGACTGTTACATTAAAAATTTAATTCAGACGGATTAAAGCGGTTCTACTGTCACTAATTTTACGGTTTTCAAAATACTTCATTTCTCTCAATGCAATTATTATTATTAATATCATATTAGATTATGATCAAAACCAAGAAATAATATAAATCTTTTTTTATGCATCGAAATGAATTTTCGATTCTTTCAACATGCTGTTATTTGCGTTTGATAGTGCACATTGGTAAGTTATACTGAAAAATTTCCTTTTTATTACTCAACTGTAATAAATAATATACGAGGTAAGTATGTTTTAAATTTTTGTGAGCGTGTCCCTGAATAAAAAAAGGAAGACTCATAAAATTGGAAAACATACTTATAATTCACTATATATAGTTGAATCTCTATAGTCATATTTTTAATATGTAACTATTAAAAAAAATTTGAAGACTTGTTTATTAATTGATGAATCAAAAATTCTTTATATATTTTATCGATACTATCAAATACAAGTAGTAACGTGAAAGAATTAAGCTATTTCAATAATACAAAATATAAAAAATTTATACAATCTACTTTTGATATTATAATCCAAAAAAAATAGCGAGAGAAATCTTAATATTAAATATTTTTGTGCTATTCTATTGCTAAAGTCAATAAAGTTATTTAGACGTAAATACGTAACGGTAAGTAAAATTTCGCAGGTAAGATGTATAAAGATAGCTTGCTATCGTATTATTTAATGGATCATCGTGAAAAAAATAGTGCCGTAAGTAAGTTTCGTGTGAAATATATGTTACAGGATGTCATCGCTCCATTTGATCCATACGAAACTTTCCAAGTCGACTGATGAGAATATTCAGCGTGTAATTGAGCAATAAAGATCTTTGTCTTTCATCTTTAGAACTCGTTAACACATTGCAAGCTATTGCGTACATTTGAATCATACGACAAATTTTCTTTTACACGCGTTTTATATTTCGACGATAAAAAAAAGTCAACGAAATTTTAATCTAGGCAACATGTCACTGGAATAAATAATCTATATAATATTATACGTTTAAATTTATATATTTCTCAATTTGTGTTTTTACAAGTCATATGATTAAGATGAAACTTATCGCGCAAAGTAATAAAAAAATCGTTAAACCTTATCTTGTTTTGTATGCACGTCATTAAATCTTTTCTTGGCTAATGTCTGTTTCTGTCAATCAATGTTTAATTTTATTCTCGATTGAATTCTTTATCTTTTTCTAATTCTAAGAATAAGAAGAAATAAATCGAAATGGAGATGAAGTTAATCTATTTTTGATAGAAACAGGCAAAGCTGTTTCACTTTTTTGAGATAAACTGAGATAATATATCTCAAGGAGGCAACAAAATATAAAGGACTATTTTGAATTTTAACGTTACAATAGTCTAATTTTCTAACTAAAAATCATCATTTTGACTTTCACGACGTTATAATAAAGTAGCTTTGATTTTTTCTTGACTTTGTATGTTCCTTGGGATCTAAATATAGAATATAGGAATAATCTTAAGATTATTGTAATTTGAGCAAGTATGTAAGAAGATAGTGAATTACAATATTTACAAACATTACAGAGTTTAAAAATGTTGAAAATGTTATGAATTGATATAGGCTGCTTAGTTATGATCTCATACGATTCTTACGTAGTTCTTTTTATCCCTTCTCTCGATAAGTCACCGTTATGACATAGAGATAATTATTCCGAGTTAGAGCGACTTCTTCAATAACAATCACGAGCAGTCGATACCATTGGATACTTTTGCGTTTTCACGCGCGAGAAGCGGTACAGCGGTGAGCTGAAGGCGTCGGTGGCGCGCCTTGCGATCGTAGCAGACCATCCCATCCTTAGCGTGTCCTCGTAATCGCTCGAAAACTGCAATCACGCGGAAATGGCCAAAGACTTACGGTAAGTGCAACATCTCAATTTTTCGCGATTCCAATTTTTTTTCTATATCTCGAAAAACGTTTGTTGAACAAATCAGACGCGCTTTTATCTTTTCTTCGGAGGTTATGAGTCAGGATTTATTACGTGACAAGGTTAAG